TTGCAACCCCATGGACTATAGCCCGCCAGGCTCCTCTGTCCATAGAATTCTCCAGGCAAGAATACTGGAGTGGGTAGCCATGCCCTCCTCCAAGGGGATCTTCTTGACCCAGGGATTTAACCTGGGTCTCCTGCATTGCAGGCAGACTTTATCTTCTGGACCAGCAAGGAAACTCCTATTACAGTTAAAGAGGGCCCAAAAGTTCTGCAATCACCAGACTACTCATTTGATAGATAAGAATACTGAGAGAGGTCTAAGGAGAAAGGAAGCTGCCAGATCTGTGGGGCTGGCCTTCCATCAACAGTCTCTGCCCTCTCCACCTCTCTCTGCATCCTCGTCACCCAGTTTCTTCTGCTGGGGTGAGGAGGGTTCCGGGAAACAGAACTTTTCTCCTTCAGCTTCCTTGCTCCTTAGATTCAGTTTCCATCAGGCTTTGGTGTGGAGGGCGGCAGGGAGGGGGCAGCCCCCGCAGGGGCTATTTCAGTCAGAGACAGACGTGGCAGGAAACAGAGGAAGCTGCCCTTTCAGCGGTATCACAGCCTGGGCCAAGAGCAGAAGAGTGGAGAGCTTCGTGTCTGGCCTCCCCTTGACCCAACACACTTGGGGCCACCAAGGCGTGCGTTTCGGGGACAGGAGGCTGTATGTGAGTGTTGGCGCGTCTCGGGGGCCATGGGCCAGGGCGGAGAGGGCTGCAGGCAGGCAGGCTGGGTCCAGCACTGACTTCAAGAAGATCCAAGATTTGGGTGGGGGGTGGGCAGAGAGGAAGGGACTCCACCTAACTGGGGGATCAGAAAAAGGAAGAAGTAAGCTTAGATCTGGAGCTTGATGGACACTGGGTTTTGACAAATAGAGGGGTTAAATGGCACTTTGTGCGGAGGGCATAGCGAAGATGGGGAGGCTGAAGAGGAAGTCTGGGTCTGTGGCTGTCAATGGCTGTGTGGTGGTCTCGGGCTCTTGAGAACAGTGTGGCAGGAGAGGAAGCAGCAGAGTGAAGCACTTTGTCTGGGTGCGCTTCGGATGAGGCTGGAGGGCTCAGCAGGAGCATAAATGTCAGGACAAGAGCTTGAGTTTTTCTCCCAAGGGCCAAGGGATCCAGGGAAGGAGAGCACCTATTATAAAGCACCACACACCCCATCCGACCCCACCCCCCACACACACTACAGAGCGGCTGGAGCCCAGGAAGGGGCTGGGGTGTGGGCTGGTCCAGGGCACACAGCCCAAGAGTGAGTGACAGATGTGACAGCCCAAAAGAGCCTACGTCAGTCACTTCCGGGAGGCAGGGACCACACAAGCCCTCCCTGGGGACCAGCTCTTGCCGGGAAATGGCAGAATGGGAGAACTGCTCACCCCTCCCAGGTCCTCAGACGGCGGGCCGAGTGGATCAGGAAGCCAGGGTGACAGTCAGGCCCACCTTTCCCGGATCTCCTCGAGCAGCCCCTGCCTCCTTCCAAGAGGACTGGTCTTGCCAGGGAGTGGGAGGCAGAAAACACCCAGAGCAGGAGTGGGATGAACTGGGAGATTGGGACTGACACTGCTATGTATAAAATAGATAACTATTGAGAAGCTACTGTATGACACAGGGAACTCCCCTCAGCGCTCTGTGGTGACCTAGATGGGAAGGAAATCCGGAAAAGAGTAGACATATGCATACATATGACTGATTCACTTTTGTACAGCAAGAAACTCACCCACCACTGTAAAAGTTAATTAAATGGGGGGAGCGGGGAAAAATGCCTGGAAACCCCAGTCCCCTGAGTCAGAAGGCTGTCTCTCAGGGTGGTGTCTGAGGGGAACAGACCTCCCCCAAGAGAGTTCAGGGGCACAGCACAGTTCCATCTGCCCAGTTCCTCCTCCTCACCACGACCTTCTGTCCTAGCAGGCTGCTCTCCTCTCGGACTCTGCCTGCTCCCACTTCCTCCCCACTGAGGTCACCCCAGGGGGGCCTCTCACCCCTCTCCACCCATGCACATCTTCTTCAACCACCAGGGACTTGCTCCATCCTTCATCCTCCTCTGAAAATGTCTTCTATCCTGTGTCTCACACCAGTCTCCCCCTTCAGATTGACATATGTATATGAATATGTATATGTGTATGCATCTATCTGTTTATGTGTCTACCTATCTACATCTATACACTGTGCCCCATGCAGTGAGCAAGTAGTGAGTACCCATTAAATGTCTGGCATGTGAAAACATGAATACTGGAGTGGATAGCCATTCCCTTCTCCAGGGGATCTTCCCAACCCAGGGATCAAATCCAGGTCTCCTGCATTGCAAGCAGACTCTTTACCAGCTAAACCACCAGGGAAGCCCCATGTGAAAACAGGAGAATGAAAGAATGGCCAAAACAAATGAATAAAAAGATGAATGAATGAACTTTCTCTTGCCTGTACTAATCTTGGCTTCTTGGCAACAATGGGGGGACCACTGTACTTCCTCCTCTGGCCTCCACCTTGTGCTTAACTGGTTAGCTGGGTGCCCCATGCTCCCAGAACATGGACTGCAGCCCCAGGAAGAATGCTTGATAATTAAAGGTGATGCGGGTTACAGACTAGAGAATCCAAGCATCATCATTTTTCAGTTAGCCACAATCTGGGTAAAACATTTTCATTGAAATCAAATTTTAAGTTGGGAGAAATTAGTTTGGGGAGTTACGTTTTACTCTCATATAACTTTTATAACTTTATTAGGTATATTCACATTAAGAGTAGCTCACACTTGCTTGTGGCAGGCACTGATCCTCATGACAAACCTATGAGGCGGGTACTGTATTATCCATTTTTATAGATAGGGAAGCCAACCCTGGGGGTTCATTAATGGGCCTAGGCCACACAGATCACATGTGGCAGAGCTGGTATTTGAACCTGGACATCTGGACCAGAGCTCATATGCTTGGCTTCAACGCTCTATTTCTCTCTGAGTGTATTAGCAGGACTTCATGTTTTTTTCTGGGCCTCAGTTTCTCTCATCTGTAAAATAGGAAGAGGGGATGATTTGAGTCACTATCTCAAAGGTTTTCCCTTATAGGACCATTGGATTAAAGTTGTGAATTCTCTCTGGATGTCATTAAATATGGAAATGCCATTGGGGAGGTAAGTATCAACAAATCAGACTGATCCCATCAGGGGACCTCTTAAGACATTTGTGCTGCTGGCTCCCCTAAAACTCAGCCTAAAGGGATGAGTGGAAGAACAAGGTGTAGGATACAAAGGCATGGCATGGCATTTATTAAGCACCTACTGCGTATCAGGTCTATAACAGTTTTACTGACAAGGACACAGGCCCAGCAAAGGCAAGCAACATTCCCTAGGTAGACCAGCATAGAAGCAGAGGAGCCAGGGTTTGAACCAGACCTGCCTAGCTCTGAAGCGAGATTTATAACCTTTCCACTCCATGTCCATGGGTCATGCTAAGTTGCCTCCTCTTAGACAGGCAGTTGGGTTCTGGCTCTGACTCTCCTAACTCTCTGAGATTGAGCAGTCAGTGCCCCTAACTGTGCCTGGATTTTCCTCTCTGTAAAGTAGCTGTGGAGAAGGCAATGGCACCCCACTCCAGTACTCCTGCCTGGAAAATCCCATGGACGGAGGAGCCTGGTAGGCTGCGGTCCATGAGGTTGCTAAGAGTTGGACACGACTGAGTGACTTCACTTTCATTTTTCACTTTCATGCATTGGAGAAGGAAATGGCAACCCACTCCAGTGTTCTTGCCTGGAAAATCCCAGAGACGGGGGAGCCTGGTGGGCTGCCGTCTATCGGGTCGCACAGAGTCAGACACGACTGAAGTGACTTATCAGCAAAGTAGCTGTAGACTTGGTAGGTCCCTCAGTCATCTGCCTTTGTGGGGAAGCTCTTTTCTCTCTGGCCACCAGAGGGCACTGTGGCCTCAGTGGCTTCGCCAGACCCGCCTTTGTAGCTTCAAGTCCAGTGGAAGGACATAGGGAACTCTTAAATCACCTCCTTCTTTGCAACTGAGCATGCATAAACACAGATCACCATCTTCCCCCCCATTTTACAGATAAGTAGACTGCAATCAAAAGAAAAAACATGGATTAAGAAGATGGAGTCCAGGCTGAGAAGGTGAGCACAGCCCTTAGCCCAGAAGTGTGACATTCTGCTAATATTGATTGATTAATTAACAGGGTCTTCCCTGCCCTGGGCCCCAGTTTGGGCTCTCAGACACAGACCTGGCACTTCTCCTTAAGAGCTTTTCAGTCTGTGGGAAAGAGATAGACAGGCAGGCCCACCATGACTACCATCCCCAAACTCCAGGGAGCCCAGGGAAGCCCTGCCTAGCATGATTTAGCACCTCTGATTACATGACATCCTGAGAGATGGGTGCATCATTCTCCCATTTCAGATGGGAAAACTGAGACTCAGGTAATGTATTAATATACCGTGTCACTCGACCAAAGTCACATAGCTAGTAAGTAGCAGAAAGTGAAAAATGAAGGTGTTAATCACTCAGTCGTGTCTGACCCTTTGCAGCCCCATGGACTATAGCCTGCCAGGCCCCTCTGTCCATGGGGTTCTTCAGGCAAGAATGGAGTGGGTAGCCATTCCCTTCTCCTGGGGATCTTCCCCACCCAAGGATTGAACCCGTGTCTCCTGAACTGCAAGCAGATTCTTCAGTGTGAACCACCAGGGAAGCCCAGTTGGGATTCAAACCAAAGTCAGTCACTCTCCTCTTATAGAGGAGCCATTTGACTAGCATTTTGAAGGATGAATAGAAATTCATCAGGAAGGTTGGTGGGAAATTAATATTATAGAAAGAAAATGAGTTGGATTTCTGTCAAGTTTGAGCTTTATCGTGATCTGGATCTTGGGAAAGTCGGGGCTGTGAGGGGCTTTGGTGGGGTGGTGAGTATCAGAGATGGTCCAGGCAGGAAAATCAAGGGCCCAGAGAGGGACAGGGGCCTACTGGGTGGTCCACGAGTGTGGTCACTGACGGATTGTGTGTTGCTTCCCCAGCCTCTCTGGATGTAGGAAGCCCAGTTGAACAGGCATGGCATGGGACAATGGCACAGGCCAGGCCCTGGACGCCCCGCCCACCAACTGCGTTTACCGAGAGAACTTCAAGCAGCTGCTGCTGCCACCCGTGTATTCGGTGGTGCTGGCGGTCGGCCTGCCCCTGAACGCCTGTGTCATCGCCCAGATCTGCATGTCCCGCCGGGCCCTGACCCGCACGACCGTGTACACCCTGAACCTGGCCCTAGCTGACCTGCTGTATGCCTGCTCCCTGCCCCTGCTCATCTACAACTACGCCCAAGGTGACCACTGGCCCTTCGGAGACCTCACCTGCCGCCTGGTCCGCTTCCTCTTCTATGCCAACCTCCATGGCAGCATCCTCTTTCTCACCTGCATCAGCTTCCAGCGTTACCTAGGCATCTGCCACCCTCTGGCCCCCTGGCACAAGCGTGGGGGCCGCCGGGCTGCCTGGCTCATGTGTGGGGCTGTATGGCTGGCCGTGACAACCCAGTGCCTGCCCACTGCCCTCTTTGCCTCCACAGGAATCCAGCGGAACCGCACGGTCTGCTATGACCTGAGCCCACCTGCCCTGGCCACCCGCTACATGCCCTATGGCATGACCCTCACGGTCATCGGCTTCCTGCTGCCCTTTGTCGCCCTCCTGGCCTGCTACTGCTGCCTGGCCCATCGCCTGTGCCGCCAGGATGGCCCAGCAGGGCCGGTGGCCCAGGAGCGGCGTGGCAAGGCAGCCCGCATGGCTGTGGTGGTGGCGGCTGTCTTTGCCATCAGCTTCCTGCCTTTCCATGTCACCAAGACAGCCTACCTGGCGGTGCGCTCTACACCTGGCATCTCCTGCCCTGTGCTGGAGGCCTTTGCAGCAGCCTACAAGGTCACCCGGCCCTTCGCCAGTGCGAACAGCGTGCTGGATCCCATCCTCTTCTACTTCACCCAGAAGAAGTTCCGCCAGCGGCCACATGAGCTGCTACAGAAACTCACGGCCAAGTGGCAGCGACAGGGTCGCTGAGTCCTCCAGGGCAGGACACCTGGGGGCAGGGCAACCATGTGATTGCCACCGTGACTGGGGCACCAGAAGCTCCACCAGCTCCAAAGCATGCAGAGAATTAGAGCTTAGCTCAGCTGGGCATAGACTGAAGCCCTCACAGACCCCGAAACTTCAACAACTATTTATTAAACCCCTTTTTTGGACCAGGCTCCACAGGTACAGAGAGAGACAAGCCTGGGCCTGGTTCTCCAGAAGGCCCTAAGAAGCCATGGAGAATTCAGAAGTCATGTTAAGCTTCTCACAAAAATACAGTATAACATGTACTATGATTGAGGAGTATGCCGCATACTTTGGAGTCACCAATAAAGGGAGTAAAAGAAGATGGGAGGTGGAAGTGAGAGCTTCTGGGAAGGGCCATTTGACCTGGGTTTTGAAGGATGAATATGAGCTCTCTGGGGTATGTGCTATGTTCTATTCATTCAGTATATCTTTACTGACACTTTGTGCTTGGGCCTGATTTGGTTCTGGGGCCCAAGAAGAACCATCTCGAGCCCATCCCCATTCAAGCTTTCAGTTACTGGAGGTACAGACACTGACACAGTCATGTCAAGGCTGTGACAGAGGGAGGCATGGCTGGGGGGCAAGGGTGCCCAGAGGATGCCCATGACCCAGTCTAGGAGTCTCTTGAAGGGACTGGGGGTGGGGCATTTGAACCAGATGTTGAAGGCTGAGTGGGAGCTCTGAAAATGGAAGTGGGGAGCACGTTAGTGCAGCCTGGGCCATCCCTGTGCCAGGCTCTGCCCTGGGCAGATAGGCAGAAAGCTGGAGTGGAGGGCATGTGGCCTCTTGTGTGTGAAGGCTGAGAAAATAAGAGCCGTCTATTGGCCACCCTCCAGACAATGGCAAGAGTAGGGCAGGTGCTCCAGGCTGGGGGTTCTCAGCAGAGGAATCAGGGAGCACACTTTCGAAGGGGTGGGGCTTGAACTGGGAGGAATCTAAAAGGCAGAGTGGAGGAGGCTGCATCTGGTAGAAGGCACTGTGTCTCCAAAACCCAGAGGCAGAGATGTGCCAAGACCGATTATAAAGCACCTGTGAGTTTCAGATAAGCCCGGGGTTGGGTGTGTGGAGAGGAGTGGCAAGAAATGGAGCTAGGTGGGACTAGGGCATTAAATGCCAGGAAGAACCCATATCCCACCTGTCCTCCACTCACCCCTCCACATGTGCCTCCTTCAGGCTCAGGGTGTCCTTGGTGCCTGGAGACACCTCCACCAGAGCCCCCGAGGGAGGGAAAACAGCCCTTCAACACTGATTCATTCTTTTTTTTTCCCCTGAGTTTTTAATTTTTTTATTTATTTTAATTGGAGGCTAATTACTTTACAATATTGTGGTGGTTTTTGCCATACATTCACATGAATCAGTCATGGGTGTACCTGTGTTCCCCATCCTGACCCTTCCTCCCACCTCCCTCCCCATCCCATCCCTCAGGGTCATCCCAGTGCACCAGCCCTGAGCACCCTGTCTCATGCATCAAACCTGGACTAGCGATCTATTTAACATATGATAATATACATGTTTCAATGCTATTCTCTCAAATCATCCCACCCTCGCCTTCTCCCACAGAGTGCAAAAGTCTGTTCTTTACATCTGTGTCTCTTTAGCTGTCTTGCATATAGGGTCATGGTGACCATCTTTCTCAATTCCATATATATGCATTAATATACTGTATTGGTGTTTTTCTTTCTGACTTACTTCACTCTGTATGATAGGCTCCAGTTTCATCCAACTCATTAGAACTGATTCAAATGAATTCTTTTTAATGGCTGAGTAATATTCCATGGTGTATATGTACCACAGCTTCCTCATCCATTCGTCTGCTGATGGGCATCTAGGTTGCTTCCATGTCCTGGCTATTATAAACAGTGCTGCGATGAACATTGGGGTGCACGTGTCTCTTTCAATTCTGGTTTCCTCGGTGTGTATGCCCAGCAGTGGGATTGCTGGGTCATATGGCAGTTCTATTTCCAGGTTTTAAGGAATCTCCACACTGTTCTCCACAGTGGCTTTACTAGTTTGCATTCCCACCAACAGTGTAAGAGGGTTCCTTTTTCTCCGCACCCTCTCCAGCATTTATTGTTTGTAGACTTTTTGATACAACACTGCCTCATTCTTAAAGGAGAAGTCAGCAGCTTGAGGAGATGCAGGGCTACCCCCAGGGCCACTAGGAGGCTGCTACATGGAGATCCCGTGGCCTGGAGCCTGCAGATCAGCCTCAGGGCACACTGCTTCTTCTAGGTTCTACGCCTGCCATCTCATCTCCATCATTCTGGCTTGTGTGTTCCTGGAAGGCTGCCTGGAGGCACCCTCATATGGAAGCATCTCAAACACAGAGCCGAGCTTATAAAACCCTGGAAGGGCTTCTGTCTTGCTGTATCTCACTGTTCACTGAACCCAGGGTAGGCAAGGTGGGAGTGGGGAAGCTAGAAGAAAACTCAAGGAGCCGTAGGAAGTGCAGGCATTGTTTATTCGCAGCAGCGAGGGAGACCTGCTTTACTCTCTAAAGGCTGACACAGCAGCAACGACGACTGTGCAATTGAACTCCACGTGACCTGCCCCGACTTCACTGGACTCTACCCGACTTGCCCACTGCAAGAGCTTTTCAGGTGTTGCTTATATAGGTTTACAGAACAAAAATGGCCTGTGGTCAAGTGGGTCATCATGACATGCACGCACAATGCTTTAAGTGATCTCAGCTGTTACATAACCATGTATTCACAAATGTGGGGTGAGACAGCCTGACTACCTCCGTCTTAGCTAATTTGCTCTTTCCCTACGGCATCGTCACTGAAGGTCCCCGAGAAGGCAACAAAGAATTATACCACACAAAGCCCTTCCAAGTCCTCTTCACTTGTTTTCCCCCTGCTCACGTCTCTTTCAGGCACTCCTCTGCTGGCTCCTCATCCTCTCTCCTCCTTGTCCTCATATCCACACACGCCCACACTCCACCCCCATTGCTCCTCTAGTCCTTATTCCTTTCTCCCAGATCTTAGTTTTCCTCCCATAGAACAGACTGGCTGGCCTGTAACTGCTGGTACATCACACAGACCCGGCACTGACAGAACTGGTCATGGCAAAGGGGGTCTTCTGCCTTAGAAGGTAGAACGGGGAGAGGGAAGGGCAGAGGGTCAAGGCAGGGAGGGGAAGGATAGAATAACTTCTCCAGTATTTTTCCTTTCACCCTGCCTAATTGCCAAGGCTGTTCAGCCACAGGGACATTTAGAGAAGGGCTCTGCAAGGGTGAAACACCACAATAATGTCAGAGGTGTGCTTACAGCTGGTGGAGGAATCCATTCAAAGTGCCCTTGCTGGAGAGGCTGAGAGCTTGGACAGAAGGTAGTTTGATTCTTTGGGTCATGGTGAGATGGATGTGTGGGGACATCAGAAGACAGAGACTGGTTCTTAGTCCCTATATAATGCAGAGCTGAGCCAAGCAGTCCAGGTGTTATCCATCTTGCCTCTGAGACCAGGCTCTTCAGCTGCCTGTCATGGGGGGCAGGAGATGGAAGAGCAGAAGGCAGAGGGCCCCCACCAGCAGCCAATGCAGTGAGTCCCAGAGGATTGTCCCAGCAACCCACAAGAACTGTGACCCCCTGGTTACTTTTCCAGGAGTGAAAATTGTGGACCACAGATAAATCCCATTCCTAGTTTTCCTTGTAAGACAGAATAGCATAAAGGGTTCAGACCCCACAGCTAGATCACCTGGGTATGTATCCTGGCTCTCATTTACTAGCTGTATTACTCTGGACAGGTTATTTAACTTCTTCATACCTTAACTTCCCTAACTGTAAAATGGGAGTAATAATGGCACCTATTTTGTAAAACTGTTGTGAGGATTAAATTAACTAACATATGCAAAGCACTTAGAATGACACCTGGAACACAGTAGGCATGCAATGAATGTTACTATATAGTGGTTTCACCTTTTGTGCACAGAGCTTCCTCTAGGGTCCATCTCTAGGAATAGGCATAGCAGGTTTCTAAACAAGGAGCTTTAAGCAGAAGATTGCAAAGGTTTTTCTTTCTCCTTCACCTAGAAGGCAGCCAGTCTTTCAGGGGGGAGAAAAAACAAAACAGCACACTTTTTTGATAACAAGAGCCATAATCCATGAGCCCTATCTGTTATTGTAAGAAGGAAAAATCATTTATTACATGCCAGGACAGGGATTCCAAGCACCATTTGGGGGCTTGAATTCCTCCTCTTCTGCTTTTTTTCTTTTTCCTCTTCCATATCCTCCTTCCTCCCCCTCACTTTAACCCAAGCATTCTCAGTGATAGAGGGTAGGGGTCAGCATAGGGGCTTACCCTGGGCATGTCTACTTGCTGGAATGGGGACAGAGAAGACACAGACAGGGGTGGAGTGCAGTGAGGGGCAGAAGGGACCATGCTGGTTCAAAGGGGTCCAAGGATTCTTCTGTGGGTTAGGGAAGATTTTCCGGGGTTGAAGGAGTGCAGCTGGGTCTTGGATAGTTGTAATTAGACTGAAGGAAAGGGGGTAAGAGTGTTGCTGGTGTAGGGAACAACACAAAGGCATGGAGGCTGTTGGAGGAGGGATAGGAAGGACTGTGGCCTGATATGAAGCTGGAGAGAAAAGGGCTGTCGTCCAGGGAAGCACTGTGGAACCACGACTACAGTAACACCCACTGGCGGGACTCCAGGTACCATCAAATTGTTGTACACTCAGTTTCTCATTTAATCCTTATAATACCTCCTGTTACAGATGGGGAAGCTGGGATCTGAATGTGGGAACTGACTTACTCAGGTCACATAGCCTTTCTCTAACCCAGATACTAGATCCTCCCCTGCTTCACCCTCCCTCCCCTCCCCTTTCCTCTCTTCACCTGCCTTCCAAGTGCCCACTTGCCCCACCCAGTCCTAGTAAGTGGGGACCCCAAGGAAGTTGTGCCAACTATAGTGTCAAATCTTTTTTAGTTAGGCACAGTCTCCTAGCATCTTCCCAGGTGGTG